AATCGAAGCAATTTGGCTGAGCAAATGCTCAGTTTCTGACGTGTTTAAATTCTTAAAACGTAGGGAAAATAGTAGATTTTTAGGTTTCAAGTGCAGTTTCAGTAGGCCGAAAATTGCTCAAGATTACGGGGCCACAAGCGGATTTATCTGATAGGATAAGTTGAGAATTTTAAATCCAAAACCACTGATTTGCTTGGAAGAACGAACTCAGTTTTTACAAATTTTAAATAAAAAAATTAATGAGCCAAAAGTCTTTCAAATGCATTCGTTCACATTCGTGCAAATAACGGAGCGACAAGCGGGCGTGTTTTTAGTTTTTGGCCGATTTAGAGTCTTCCAACTGCGGGAAAACGACAAGATTTTCATCTAGAAAATTGATGTTTTGGATTTCTGAAATTTGTAGCTAAAAGCGTTCAACTTTCAGCCGATTTAGCATTTCCAAAAAACTTAAACAGGAGCTCTAATAATTCCAATCATTTGGATAAGTTGGAAGAATGAAGAAACCGAATATAAATCTCTATAATCAAAAAAAGAAATTTGCATCCGTGAAACCGAGGCTTCAAAAGCAGAATGCTGGTTAAATTCATCATTTCACAAAAATTTGTACACATACGTTTGTATGTTTTTACTCTTGTTTCATCTATTTTCTTTTCAGTTTTTCTATCTTGTGCTTGCAACTCAGTAAAACCTTTGTTTGCATTCGAGATTGAATTTTCACTGAGAGAGACCAGATGGGACAAAAAAATTATTTCGCAACAGTCGATTTATATAGAAAATGTACAGGGTGTCCCAATTTAGGTAACTTGAATTAGTAGTTCAATTAAAGTCAAAATCACAAATAAAGAAATCGGTTAAAATTACATTAGAACTGCCTGGAATATTTTGTTTTTATACAGTGATGACCATATATAATAATGATGCGGATCCTTAAAGTGTAACTTAAAAAGTGTTTTTTATAAACACGGTTAAAATCTGATTAAAATGCTGAAGAAAGAGATGCGATTGTTTGCCTCAAATCCAAAAATTGCCGAGTTTAAGGCAAAGATATTTGACGAGATTAAGAAAAGGAAATTTGAGAAAATTGGCGAAGAATTCGCTCGTTCAGAAGTCCAGACGCCCCCTCGAGTTTAAACTTATAACTACAAGTTAAGTGGTAATTTGACAGTTGTTTTGTTGAAATTGACGTCACATAAGTATTGTTTTATGTCATAAAGGTCAACGAGAAATTTGACGTTTCGCAGCGCCACCATCTGTAATTGAACTGTCGAATTGACGGTTGAACAGTTAGCCTGTCATTTTCGAAAATTAGCGAATTTTACCTGTTTAATCAGAGCTGATAAAAGCGAAAGAAATTTATGAGAGTTTAATCATTGCAAAGAATTTATTGGGGATCAACTGGAAATGATCGTTAATATTTAATTGCTGTGTAGGTCAATTAACTGAAAACTACTAAAACACCAATAAAGCAATTACACTTATTGGATCAGTTTAGCCAAATTAGCCAATTTAACAGATGATTAAATACAAGTGCAATTTGTTATCAAAACATCGGCTGAATGCATCGGGCGCAAAACATTTTAAGGGGTAAAACGAAATCCTCTTTGCCAACCCCTCTTATTTCATTCTTTATGGGGCCTCACTTCTTCTGTGAGGGTTAAATTAGGGTGTCGTTAAATGTATTACGATATTAAATTATCATGACAATGGCACAATCAGGGGTGCTGGTGATAAATACAGCGCAAACATACGGACCTTTTGGCCACAGGTTTTATACGCGCAATATGCTGACAAATTAGAGAAAAGGCACCCACCATGAATGAATATTTAAACAAACACCCTCAATGCGTTTCACTCATTAGCACCACTTACCGATCAACAACTATCAATTCATTTGTCGGCCGACTGAGTCTGTCACTGTCACTGACAACTGTCTGTCAAATTAGCGACTGATTTGACAGAAACTCCTAACCTTCAAAGATATAGAAGCAAAGTCCAATGTTAAATCTTCGAAACGTTTCACAATATCATACCAGTTCTGATGACAATGACAAGATGCATCTTTGCCGAAGTAGGTGTTGTCAACAATTCCTAACCTCCAAAGAGATGAAAGCAAAAAAGAAGTAAACGACAGTTTAAACTGGCTTATAGCTAGTTTAAAGTGGAGTGGGGGAAACATCTGAAAAGGCTTAAGAACCGTTTCGATAGAGCGCACTGAGGGCCATATTTTTTCCCCTACTAGACTAAATGAAAATTTCTAACCTCTAGTGTTGAAGAAAACCTCTTTTGATCAAGGTTTCATTAATTTCAGGAACTCGGGAATTCTCCCAAATTTCTAACCTCTAAAAACATAGAAGCAAAAATGTTTACATTTAAGGGGCGCTCGAAGTTCAAAAGGGTATATCTGGCAAACGGTTAAAGATATGCAAATTTCGGATAGAATCTTTTTGATAGATAATTGCAACTGCTGCTTATTTCTAACCTTTAAAAAGTGGAACAGAAAACAGTGAAATTTTCCGCAAAAACTTTCAAAATATTGCAACATTCGAACGCCTCACTGTTATAGAGTCATCTTTTTGTTGATAAAAAACCGCAGGCCTTTTGCAACGTTGCCATCGCTATCAAAGTTTCCCTAGACGCAGTGAAACTTGGAAAATCGCCACGGAAAAAAGGCCAGAGGTGCTTGCGGCGTTGCATAATTGTGTAATTTTACTGAACTAATTGCTAAGTGAGGGCGATACTGAAAACAATTTTCTGGGAGAGAAGTTTGTTCGAAAAAACGCGAATTTAACAGGCGCATAATTTCCGCAAAATTGCTCTAACAACCGAAAAAATAACGTAAAACGATTGAATGGAGCTTTGTTTAATGAAATCACTACAGTTTTTCGCTGGAAAATGGCAATATTTTTGAGTTTCTGTTATCGTCAGGCAAGTTTCAAAAAATGTTCAAAAAGCCCGTCCTTTTTGCCAATAACTAACCGTTTGGCAGAATTGGCAAAGTGATTGATTTACTTTTGTATCGCGTTTGTAGGTCGAAGCTTGT